GAGGACCTGAAGGTTAGGGTTAGGACATGTCGTTGACCACCAATAAGCACATCCATTTCAGTCATGACATTGGCGGATTCCACTGGGTACGACTCTTCATTACAACTCAAGGATGTTGACTGAGTAGTCACCAATGAGCTCCAGAATGAGATGCGCACTACTTAACATAGTCCCAAGACAGAACATACCACGCATCCAGTGCACTCCCTGGCAGTTCTCAATGATTCTGTCTAACTGTTTCGTGAGATAATCTACATTTAAATAGCTAACCCGTTTGTCATGCATTTATCCATGTTCAATTATGACAGTAGGTGGAAATTATATTTGAAGTGTAGCAATATTGATTAAGACGATTTATTATTACTACTCCTTGGGGTTCCAAGTGGAAAATAAGGATTCAACAGCGCATCTCTATTTTGTCTTGTTCTCTGCACTTCTTTTTAGCTGTCTCAACGATGACCCATAAGCGTCCATTCCCTCCTAACACGATCTCCTACTCGTCATCCTCAGACACTTATCCGACTCGTCGTTTCCCATTCGCGTTACATTTGAGGGCTTGACTAGCACTTTATGCCATACAACGATTTCCTCAGCGTGGGCCTGATCCATTTCCGTTTTCTACTGCATCTTTTTTTTAATAATAATAATTTGCTTTATTCCAGAAACAGTACTACAGGTACAGTGTGGAATTTTCAGTACATATCTACAATATTTGCATCTAATTTTATCCAACGTTTAAAAAAAGAATTTTCAAAAAATAAAAAAATAAATAAATACAAAAACAACAACAGTAAAAAAAACAACTACAAAAACACAAAATAATTTTTTTAAATGCGAAAAAATACCAAGAAGTGGAAAGGAAAATAAACACCATATAATAATATCTCAGTATTGGGTAGTGGAAGCTATGATGTAATTATGCATGGTGACAGTAAAGCTAAAGTCATACAAGAAGTTATGAAATGATATTTAAGAATGTTTATCGCCAAAATGATCAGTTAATTTGGTTGAAACAACTCTAAACAATCAGAAAATAACATTTCAGGGTTGTTTTTTTATTGTCAGGTCTAATGCGGTGTTTGTGGTGGTAGTGTGAGTAATAATGGCGTTCACAACCAATAATTGTCAGTTAATATTGCCGGAAAAAAATTAAAAAATAAGGAAAAAAACAACCACAAAAACTAATAACTACATGATGGTTAATGACCGGACAATTTTGTACTACTCATAGTGCTAATATAGTCGGAACCAGTAGATACACAAAAGAAGGAATAGAGTAAAGTACAAAAAGTAAGCAGTGTTAATAATTTAGGTAGCTAAGTATGTTTAAGAAGGAGTTCACTATAGAATACAAAATAAGAGAGAAATAAAAGAGCCTAAGATTATGTTATTGACAACAAAGCAAGTCATAGGTTTCGCACTTAACATTGTCTCTGTCTCTTAGAACACGGGCCAAGTATGGTATCGTTGAGTTTCTGTACTTGGTTGTAAGAGCATAGATTATTTTATACTGATTTCTGGTTCTGCTTGATGAGATTCAAGGCGAGAGTTGGGAATAGAGGGGGTGTTGGGGGTCGGAGAGTATGGTTTTTGACCATTTTCCGCATGTATTCAGGTGCCTTTCAACTAATGTAGTGACGAGCTGACTGAGTTTTACACCACTAGTCCTACTGACTACCTTCAACATCCTTCTCAGGATGGTATAGTCCTTTTTTAGTAGCCCAGGAAAGACTAACGGGGAGCAGTAAAGTAGAATAGGTAAGATACAAGAGTTGACAAATTGTGAAAGTAGAGGTTGGGTGATTCCAGATTGTCTAAGTTTCTTAATGTAGTAAGTAAGAAAGAACACTTTTTTAGAAATCATTAGGATATGAGATGTCCAAGTAAGGTCGGAAGATAGAACTAGACCGAGGTATTTTGCATTAGACTTAGTTTCAATTTTAGTCCCCTCAATACAACAGTCTTCATGAGAACTTACTAGTGTTTGTAGATCTCGTTTATGCCTAAGGGAGAAGTCAATAGTCTGGCATTTTGAGGGATTCAGCATGAGACCATTTAGTTTGGACCACTCACTGATGTCCGACAGGAAGCTATTTAATTTGAGACCGTCTGACTGAGACTTAATGGAAAACGATACAGACAGGTCATCTGCATATTTGACGAGGTTGATTTAATCTGAGAGAGGTAAATCATGTAAGAAGAAGGAAAAAAGAAACGGAGAAAGAACAGCACCCTGAGGAACTCCAGCTTCAGTAAGCAAAGGAGAGGAAGATACACCATTATATACCGTGTACTGCATCCTATTAGAGAAGTAAGAGTGTAGCCAGTTGATAGCCCAGGGCTCAGTTTGTGTAAGGCTAAGCTTGTTTAACAACCGGCCTCTAGGTACAGAGTCGAAAGCAGACGTATAATCAAGGAACGTACAACGGACATACTTGGCCCCTTTGTCTAAGGAGGATACAATGTTGTGATGAAACACAGCAGCAGTATCCAAAGTACTTCTACCCTGTTTGTAAGCAAACTGTTTTGGATCGTTTGAGAAACTTAGGTTCTTGGTCTGTTCATTCTCGGAGTTTCTTGTTGTTAATTCTTCCTGAAAGATAAACTGATCTCCAGTGTGGAACCAGAGGAGGCAGCTGTTGATAAGTATCTTTGTGCTCAAAGCTTCTGACGCACATAGAAGAACTGACTAACTGGCTTAACATAGGTGTTGAACAGAATCCGAATTTCATTGTTTATGCTGAGGCGGAGTGCAAAATATTTGCAAACTGATTTCAGAGTGATAAATATCTGGTTCGGCTTTCCGACTCTGGCTGGTTTCGACATCCTTGTCCTTGCCGGCTGCCTGTATTTAGAACGATGTTACCTAGCCATGTAAATGAGGAAAGTGACCTTCAAATTTCTTCCGTTGGTAGCGATTGATGCTAATTGTTCTTGGTTGGTTGGTTGGTTATCTTCATCACCTTTGTCTTCTCTATGTTCACTTGAAGTCCTGTCTTCTCTGCAGGTCTCTTCTTCCACATTGTTGGTTTTCGTCAGCAGGTGTTGAGTTTGTGTTGCATAAGACATAAATCATCGGCGAAGAAGCGATTTTCTGCAGTCTTCTCATCGATCCAGAGTATTCCTGTCTTCTCACTCCCCACTCACAGCCTTCCACATAATCCACTTCACAGCAGTTAGGAATATTATCCGGTGGCAGTAGTTGGAAGCCTTGTCTTACTCCATCTGTCCTCGTTTCAGAGACATGCTTCGCTAGGTTTGCCATTTTGGATCACCCGGTACGTGTTATTGCCAAATACCTTTGGTTGAATGAGGGTGATAAACATTTGCAGCACTGCGCTCCATAGTGTTGAATTAGTCTCCAAATTACTTCAAGATCAACACTGTCGAAGGCCTTTTCAAATTGGTCGATGGTAATGAGGCATAGTAAGATTTTATTATCATTCTATGCACTGTTCGATGATCGTGGTTATGCATAGAGTTTCAATCTGATCAACAAATTATTTGCTTTTCATCAATATAGCTTGTTTCGGGCGGAGTTTTAAATCGAGTTCATCTTTTGTCCTCTCCAGAATGACGTGACTTAGTATTTTGCTTGACATAGACAGAGGCCTGAGTGGCTTTTCCGTGGTAGTCTGGCAAGCTAACCTTTCTTCCAATCAGACTTGGTTAGTTAGTTAGCTGGTTAGAACGTAACTTTCATCCCGAAGAAATGTTTCATATATCTTATCAGGGGGAGATATGAGCCAGACACACGCTCAGTTACTTAGAATGTCGTCACTGAAGGCGCTTCCTATTCAAAATAAACAACAACCAACAAATCGCTAACTCTCTGTATTGGCAAAAGTGAGGGGCAATTTATTAGCTGATGCATTATCCGCATAAACATGGATTTCAATGAACCCATGAAAATTGACGCTAAAAATCAAATCAACAATATAGATTCCATTAATGCATCGAAAGCTAGTGAAGGCACTATTTGTACAAAATCAGTAGATATGATCAGCTCAATTGCTGAGGTTTTCACTCCAGTTTCCACTACGTGCCATTTTGCTAAAAATGCCTTTTGCAGATATCTTGAACTCAGCTAGTGAAATCTCTTCTGATGTTCAATTTATTTCACAGAATGTCAAAGATTTAGCTTATTAATTCTTATTAATCGTCATGATTTCGATCTATTCAGTATTGATTTGATTGATGAAACCATCATTTTCGGAAATACTTCCTCCTGACACTGATTTCGATGGAGCAATGCAAATTCTTCGTAAAATGTTTGGACAGCATGCAGTGGTATTCAATATTCATTAGAAATGTTTAATTCTATCCGAGGAACAATGTGACGACTTCCTTACTTTTTCTGTTAAAGTCAACTGTGCACGAAGCAAGTGTCCCACAGTATTTGTGGAGGTGGGAGAGGTGTTATAGACAGAGTGTACTCAGACCTACAAATATCTTCCGGTGATCTATTAAAAAGGGGAGGTGTTAGGACGGATTAAATATCTTTGTTATCCGTGACGTGATAGCTGATACATGCGCTGACATAATGACACTCTACTGGGCAATTTTTGATTGATTTATTTTGGAGAGTCTCCGATGTTATGCTATCAATCAGATATTGATTATCTATTCATTGATTAAATTTCCGTTGATGTGTAAACAATAGATATACTCTGCTGTCGCGGTTTTCGCATTTCAATTTGATTTCTGTGTCATCTATCTCAGTGTGGTGGAGGAATATTTCCAAGTGACCATTTGGTTGGAGTGTCGTGTCTGGAGGCGCATTGTAGACAATGACCAACAAACCCCTAACACTCCATTATAACACAAACTTTTATTGAGTGAATTCAGATAAAATATACGAGGGAGAGAGAGAGAGAGATAGTGACCAAAATATAAATACTGATTACCAATGCCAAACAATCATTTTAAAGTAATGACCATCACACAGAATCATTTTTTAAAAAATTTTTTGTGTTTAACCTCACTTTTTCTTTCGTTAGACAGCAAATCAATTAAATCAGTTATCAGCCCGTAGAAAGGCGAAAGCAGAAAAAGAAATCGGCAGACAGAAATTATTGGAACAAATAAAGTTACAGGTGAGTTAAGGGTTAGAGCGTTGCACATCTTCATCATTTAAATCTGTTCGCCATAGTCCTTTGTTTAGCTGTCTACACGATCTCTGCCAAAAGCTTTAATCTCCTACATGTCACCCTCATAGCTTACCTGCCAATTAATGATTACAGTCGAAACATCTGTTATTCGAGTGTGATTTCATTCAACCGTCTTCTTAATGCATGTAAGAGGTCGATGTTCTTCATTTCTTTCTCCATATTCACCGGTTGAGCGGTAGGTTCTTGGTTGATTCGTTGTTAGAACTGATTGATGCTTTCATTCTTTCTGTGTGTTCACATAGAAATTATTGATATAAGTATAAAACTTGGGCACTGTGGTAGAGTATAACTTCATTATGGATAATATTTTATTTTAATAAATCACACAGTGTTGTACAATAATATTAACTGATGACGCTTCGAACACAAACTATTGCTCATAATCGAAAAGTCATCAGTTAATATTACTGTATAACACTGTGTGATTTTTCAAATTCAGATTGATTCTGTTAAAACTGTGTGATTTATCATAAAAAAATCTTATCCATAATGGTGTTCACATAGAAGTCTTCCATAACCCGATGGAAATGCTTAATGTCACATATAATTGCATTATTTCTCGCTTGCTTTCCAACTGGAACATACGGCTTCAACTGGAGCACACCTCCATATCGTCCTATTCTCTGCAATTCGCTTCACCTGGACCGATAATCACTCATAAGATTTCATCTCCTCTTCACCACACGATCTCGTCCATATCAGCCTCAGACTGACGCCAAACTCCTTGTTTCTCATTTACGTCCCATTCGAGAGATGGCCTGGCTAGTACACAAATTCATTAGACGATTTCCTCAGAATGCGTTCGATCCATCCATTTCCATTTTCTTTGGAATATTTGTTCAGTAGGCAATAGGTTCTTGATTGGTTAATTCCGAGTGCTTTTTGCTGATAATTCTTTCTGGACGGTCATTTGACCTTCAGTATAGAGCCAGAGAAGGCAACTGATAATAAGAGTTTGGAGCATAAGGTCTTTATGAAATGCAAACCATAACGCACTGGCCAAGTTTCTGACCCATATGGAAGAACCGATTGATTTAACATTGGAGTTGAAATTCCGAACCTTGCTCTTTATGCCGAGTGCAGAAGGTTTCTAAACTGAATTCCAAGTGATGAAAGTCTGTCTTACCTTACCGATCCTAAATGGCTTTGACATCCGTATCCATTTTTCCTAGTACTGAAACGATACTTCGTGCATAAGTGAAGGAAGTAAACTCATTCAAATTTTTCCCGTCAATAGTGATTAAACCTTTCAGATCTTCCAGAATCATCTTATCGGTCCAAAGTATTCCAGCTTTCTCGCTCCCTACATGCGGTGTAACGCATAATTCAGTTCGTCACAATTAAAAGTATCATGACTTGTGATAATAGGCAGTCTTGTTTTACTCCTTCCTTCACTTCAAACGCAGGTTTCGTTGAGTTTTCCACTGCTAACCACTTGAAACGTGGTACTGTCATACAGCCAGCTATCGAATGAGATTAATAAAGACTTGGGGTTCTAAATAGTGATATGTAACATAAGAGGCACCTTTCCTAACCTCACAGAATCACTAACTGTTGAAAATCCTAATCTTGTTCTTTACACCTAGTGTAGTTTTCCACACACAACTTCAGATTAATGAAAGTTTTTCTGTCTTGCTTTTCCAACTCAGCACGCCCTCGATATCCTCTTCAATACTGTCGCCTATAGATGAAAGGATGTTACACCTAACTAATTTGCCAAAAATGTCACGGATCGCATCTACCTGCTAGTGCAAACTCAGCAGACAAAACTCATTACTGAGACAAAACAAAAACTATCCAGTCAAAATTTTCCCTTCCATGAAGTCACAATGTATATGTGATTTTGAAAAGAAAAAATTAGTAAACTAATTACTTAAAATGTCATTTACTGATTTTTGTGCCATTTTTTAAACCAATTTTTGATAATTCGTTATATTTCTTTCTGTTTTATTGTTACTTATTTTCCACTGTATTACAGAATACGGTACAAGTTACCCGTGATCGCGAACGTTTAATCCAATTGACAAAAGGTTGGGAGATACGTTTATCCCAACCGAAAACAGAGACTGTCATTAATCAAGGTTTGAATTTAAGTTCACCATCAGGTAGAATGATACCTGAATGGAGAAGGAATTTGTAAACAATAATCACGTCAGCTTTTAAGATTTCAAACGATTTAATTTGTAATATATTTTATATTTCTTGAACAGCTTTAAAGACGATTTCCAGAAGATATCTCTAAAATCTACTTGTAAATTCTGCCAAATAATAATAAGAATAAGAAAAATATACAATTAATTAGAATGAATCAAAGCCTAACTATCAGCAAGCCGCATAAAGGCGATGGTATATTGTTATTGAACAAAAGTGATTACGCTGAGAAAATCGAAGATATTTTGGATGATCGAACTTAATCCGAATCCCTTGTCAATTCCAATGAAGTCTGTGTAGAAGCAGAGAAATTGATGACAGATTCTTACAAGAAACTGAATCAAAAAGGAATACTGTCATCAGCCATGTATGAGTCTATGAAACCAACGGGTACCAACACTCCATGACTTTACGTTCTACCCAAAGTCCATAAACTCGGTCTTCCTCTTCGCCCATTTTTAGATATGTATAACTCACCATTTCAAGGAACAACAAAGTGGTTAGTCAAGATTCTAGGACGTTTGCACAAGAAAATTGCGCGACATAGAATTAGCGGTTGCCTTGACTTCTAAAATATCCAAGACTAATATGAGGGATAAACTTATATTATCCATGGATGTATCATCACTATTCACGAATGTACCACTTATCGAAACGGTAGATTACATTTGTTAAGAGAATACCGAAAGGCAAATGGACTTAGGAATCCCCTTGTGTAGCCTCAAACAACTACTCCTTAAATGCACAATCAGTGTGAACTTTGCTTTCAATAATTCACATTAGCAACAAGTAGGTGGAATAGCTATGGGTTCACCATTAGGCGCAATATTAGCTGACTTCTTCCTTGCAAGACTTGAAAACGGGAGATTGAAAGACATCATCAAGGAGTTGGATATGTATTACCGTTATATTGATGATAGATTAGTCTTAGTTGATGGGAATGCAAACATAGGCGAATTGTTGATGTAATCCAATAACCTCCATCCTTCGATTACTTTTACTTGTGAGGAGGAGCATGATAATAAGCTACATTTTCCGAATGTTTTGTTAAGTAGGCGGGAAGATGGGTTACTTGGTAGGAGCGTGTATAGAAAAAGCACACTCACAGGGCAATACGCACACTTCCTAAGTTACGTGCCCATTAAATATAAAAGAAATGTTGTTAGATGTCTTACTAGTAGAGCAAGAAAGATATGTATGGGTGACCACTTACAATAGGAATTTGAATATATTCATGATTTCTTGACGCAGAAGGGTTATCCGAGCAGTTTCATAAAGAAACATATGAAAACATCAGAGAGAAAACCTGAGACTATGACTGCATGTAAAATGACCTCTGTTTATTAAGTCATAATTTAATTGTGACTTGTCAAGCTAGATTTTATTCTACAGACTTTCCAGCAGTATACGATGAACGTCTTACTCAGCAAACCTATGTTTGTCATTCTCTAGCCGGAGAATAACTGGGACGCGAAAGAAGGATAAGCTAGACATTTTCGCCACATCTATGCGCATTTATCACTCCAACTGCACCTGTGGTGACAGTTATGTTGGGCATACTACTAGACAGCTTAGCCAACGTGTTAGTGAACACCTCCCATCTTGGTTTAACAGAGGACGGATAAAAAAAATCCGCAGCTCAGTTCTGTCATGTAGTGGAGAAAACGAAAGCATTTAAGGTGATCATTCATCGAATCCCGCTGAATCTTACCAATAGACTTCGTATTCGTCTACTACATATACACCTTAGGCGATAGACATTCGAATAAATAATTTTGACGAATTATTTTCAGAAGTCATACCACACAAACAATCCACTATACTTTGATTGGAAAGTAGGCGATGAATAACTAATGTGTCATGCGTCCAACCAGTTCTTCATTTGGTGTAGACGGTGAATTGACTATCACAGTTAAGTTCCCAATGTGGCCACCATCATCCAACTGGATTACTCGCCATCGCATTGCATTCTTAATTTCTGTTTTTGTTAGATAGTTGGAGACAGTGTGCAGGAATCCTTGATAGCACTTTTCAATTTCTTGACATGAAGGACGAGACCTAGGTTGAACTCCTGCTGCCAATTGCCTCCAGCCATCAAACATTTAGTCTATTTATTATCCCATCATGAACTCTTTGACAATGTCTGAACATTAACCTAATGTTATTTTAGTGTGGGAGCTACTGCAAAAGTATGGTGTGCCCCAGAGCTTTATCAACCTCATTCAACAGTTGGCTATATGACACTGCCACATGAATAAGAAGGACAATAATGCCTACCATCACCCATGCTATTCCTCACTGTGGTCAACTGGATTATGCGGGAGAGTGTGAGTAGCGAGAAGCCAGAAATACGTTGGACCGATACGAAGACTCTAAACTCTGGGTTTTACGAACGATTAATGTCTAATGTCACGTAAACTCGAAGGCGAAAACCAACAAGCTGACAGAAGAGGAAGACAACGAAGACAGGACTTCAAGTGAAAATAGAGAGGAGGGAGGTGGAGATAACTAAACAATTAAAAACAACCACCAATATCAGTTACCATCAACTGGAGAAATGTGGAAGAGGTAACTTCCTTCACCTATCTAGGGAGCATCTTTTCAACCACAGGTGGAATGGATGAGCTTTCAAAAGCCAGAATCGGAAAGATACACCTTCACCACTGTGAAATCAGTCTGGAAATCTTCTGCAGTGAGTTCTATGTTGGTAAGAAACTTGGCGTTGGTGTCACGAAAAGCATTTCCAACAGGTTGTAGACTTTTATCAACACCTGCCTTCACCAGCTCCATACTGAAGATCAAATGGCCAGAAAGAATTGGAAGCTAGAAACTACTGGAACAAACCAACCAATAACCTATTACTCAACAAATATGTAGGGGAAAGTGGAGATGGATAGGTCGTCCGAGTGTGACATGGAGGATGTCGTGGGAGGAGGAGATGAGAGGCTATGATCAATCATGGGCCCAGATGAAAATAACAGTAGGAAATAGAACAGAGATGTGTTGTCGAAGCCCTATGTTCCACTCGGAACCCAAGAGAACGATATAATTATAATAATTTTAGTTGACGGTTGTGACATAAGCCCTGTACTAGTCGGCGAACAATATTATCGACTATGTGCATAATCGTTCGAGTTGGGTCTTAGGCATTTGATATTATGATTGCTTCGGCAGACGTCATGAATTGGACTGTTTTTTCTGTTGGTAATCTCAAAGGATATCATGATGTCGACCTCATGACCTGTATCAACGAGATGTTTGGCTGACAGTGGCATTATGGAAAGCGTTTATTCTTTTGAGGTATAAGCTTTTTGTTGCATGTTAAGAAAATCGGAGGTGTACGCAGAAGGACTATTTCAATAGAAACAAACGCTTTCCATAATGCTGTTGGCGGAAGGTTAAACAAGGTTGTCCAATCAGGTCATTTCATGATCCATATTCGAAGAATAAAATGTTGATTTGGTTTTCAACCGCTTTCTATCGGTTTCCATCATACCACAAGTGTACTTACGCTGCTGCACTGAATGCTACTTTTAATGTTTTCTTCAGAGGTGTTGTGTTATTACATTCCTCAATGCTATCACCAAAAAACTATGTATATACACAAATAACTGTAGAGCTGGATAAAAATGAAGTTACCGAAAGGAATATTCTTTCCGCTTAATCCTTATCCATTTTCTTGCATTCATATTCAATAGTGGATTCATCGACAGTCAGTCAAATAAACTGGTAGTTATATCTTAGAAAATATTTTGATCAAATATGATGGACTAATATAGAAGGGAATACAAAGGTGGAAACTAACTGACGTAAGCTATAGATATGATGGATGGCTGGAGGCTATCGGTAGGAAGCTTTAGATCTACGTTTCGTGTTAGTTGGCACTAGTCGTAAGGTATGATTATATGATAAGCTTGAAAGTGACCTAATCATTCCTTAGGAACCGTCTTTCAAATATCTGTTAAAGGTTTTTTTAAGCGGCAATCTTGAAGATCACATTTTTCAGTAGACAGTTAGTTATTCCATTCTTGCGTTCCGGAGACGATACCACTTCATGGCTGTTTCCAGTGTGGCAAATTAAACCTGTTGTACACAAAGCCATGTCTGTAAACGTATTTTGTAACACTGTCTAGTTGGGTCATCCAGATGAGATTATCTTGTCAACTTTGAACAATTGGCACCTCCATAAGACTGCTTCACACAGTGGTCCACAGAGTTCCCCAATATCGCACAAACATCCACATTCAACCAAAAATTTGCTGATATCATATTAGAACCAAATAGAGTCAATCCATGTGAAGTATGCGACAGGTTCTTCGGATTCTAGAAAGCAATAGTTTCAAACTGTTGATGGTATATCAACAGCTCTGCAAGAATACACAACGGCATAAGACCCAAAGGATAAGCTAGAGGTCACCAAACGGTGGTTCACGACCGCTCTTTATGATGTTGCAAGCAGCTTGCACCCATGCTCTCCGAGAATGTGCAGGGAATTTCAAGATCAAGTGTTCAATAGACTTACCAGAAGTCGAATCCGAAATATAATTCATTCGCTGGAGCGTTAGCTCGTATACTTGCATCTCACGAGACAGCTTTCTCAAAGAACTGCGTCGTTACCCCTAACACTTGGAAAATCGAAAACCTTGTCCATGAAGGACCGGGCCATGACATGCTTTCGCTCAAATGCCTCCTCTAACAATTCTAAGGCCTTACAGTATCTTTCTTCAGGCTCTAACAAAACAGCGTCTAATAACATATTTCGCCACTCCGTCACAGTACTGAGTCAAATCATCTAATTTGGCCCGATATCCAACAGCATCATTGTCCACCAAGTCTTCAAAATTCTTTATAAAATTCCAATAATTTATAGGGTTGTCATCAAGCCTAATTATCTCTCATTTAGGCATGTCCAAAAAATTAGATATGGTTCTGGCAAATCCATTATTAGAAAACATATTAACTGCGGGAGAAGCAGGCGGTTTAACAAGCGACTCCTTATGGTCGAAATATTTACAGCCTGCCTGCCATAATCTTTGTGACTCAACTGTCACTCTGATTTCGATAATGCACACTTTCGCTAGTTCAAACTCTGTCTCACAGTTTGATTTACACTCATTAATTCTACTCACATCAGCTTCATCACTCCTTCCTGATTGTGGAGATAACCTTGGCATAGAATTGTACTTTTCATCCGATGACATAATGCTAGAAACTTTGTACGATTAAATTTGCCCACTGATTTATGGCCTCACTGTCAGTACTACAGATACAGAGTCTAGGCCTTACTATAGTTAAAACACTTCTGACTTGACGTAAATTTTATCCATTTCTAAAATATAGATGAAATAATAAGATTACACAGAGGTAACAATACAAAAGCAACTGTCCTTCAGGGAAGGTCAAAGATGTACCGAACATTATTGATGTGTGGTTTGATTGGACACTAGTAACTAGTGTGATGTGTCTAGTCCTTTCTTTGGTGCAGACTGAATTCTATCAGTCAGGTTTGCAATGTGGCCACCATTCTAGGTAGCTCGCCATCACAGTGCACATTGATTTGATGATATTAGATAGATGGAGGCAATCGGCTGGAAGCCTTGGACCTAGGCTTCGTGTTAGTTTCGCCAGCCCGCAAAACTCAGTGGTAACGTCTCTGACTGCAGCACTGGGTGACGCGGGTTCGAATCTCAGAGGGGACAAGAGTTCCTTCAAAGTTGCAGATACGCCTTGCTGACGAGTGCCAGCTAGCAAGAAACCTAGGTCCAAGGCTTCCTGCCGATTACCTCCAACTATCTAATACTACTGATGTGTAAAACAAAGTGGTTGGTGAATTACACTCAAATTCATATAAAAAGATAGAATACAACACTCATCCAGGGTCAGTCTCAAGTGGTGGGCGTTTACAACACTAAGCTGACCTATAATCACATGATTATCACGACAGACAAGGTCAAGCCATATTGACTGATGGGTTGTCATAAAATCTGTCTATCGTGATTAACATAACGGTTCCAGGTTTGCCTGTGATTAGGCAATAAAAAATTTAAATAAACCCCCTTGTAACCATTGGTCATTCCTTTCTAATCTCAATTTTTGAAAACTCTGTGCACACGATTAGATAAATAAGTAGTAAAGCAGCTTTTTCTGTGACTGTGAACCGTAGGTATTTCGTCTCGAATAGAGATATCGTGCGTCCAACCGTATAAATATAGTTTTTTCTTCATGTTGCATATCCACATCTAGGAGACATTTGATCAGCACAAGCAGTCACTATAAGTGTGATCCGTAAACCATAGCACATATAAACCGTTCCGGGTACTTTAGTTAACTCACGCATTTGAAAAGCCATGCGTCACAATAATAAATTCATGGCGAGATCTAAAGGACTAAGTAGTTTTCGAGTCAATATGGAGGCTCGCAGAAGTGATAATAATAATAATAATAATAATAATAATAATTTACTTTATTCCAAAAACAGTACTTATAATACAGAATGGAATTCTCAGCATTTGTCACAATATTGCATCTGATTTACTCAAAGTGTATATAAAATTAAAAATTTAAAACAAAAATTAATCGGAGAAATTTGTCCACATTAACGACATAATTATTAGATATAGTAATAATAATAATAATAAATACTAATAACAGTGAGTTTGTTTCAAACGGTATTGTCGATTCAGTTTGGAAACTTTAGCATGTTATAGATTATTGGGTCTAATGTTCTGTTGATATGGTATAGTGAGGTGAAATATAAAGTTAACAGTCATAATACAGCTTAAAATTATGTCCACAGTTATGAAAAATAAAATAAACAAAACGAAAAAATTGAGAGGATTATAAATATAAGAAATACAGTAACAATAAAGTATGATGCTTTAAGGTTGAAGGAAATGGTCTATTTAGTGGTGCTAAGAAGGTTAGTTAGTTCATTTCTGACACTATTTTCATCACATAGAGTACGTGCTAAATATGGTATAGTGGAATTTTTATACTTAGACGTACGTGCATAAAGTCTTCTGAAAAGACTTCTTGTTTTACCTGAGGAGACACAAGGTGGGAGCTGCGGGTAGAGTGGGTGCTCAGAGTCTGACAAAATTCCCCTAGCGAATCTGTTGCATGACATCAAATGTCTATCGATGACAATGCCATCGATATGGCCCAAAGGGATACCACTAGACCTACTGACAGTCCTCAGAGTTCTACGAATTATGACATAGTCCTTTTTTAGCAATCCAGGAAAGAATAAGGGTGAACAGTAAAGAAGAATAGGTAAAATACACGAGTTGACAAACTGTAAGAGGAGTGGTTGCGTTATGCCTGAGTGCCTTAACTTCCTAATGTAAAAAGTCAAACGAAATATTCTTTGAGAAATCGCTAAGACATGAGAAGACCAAGATAGGTCAGAAGAGAGAACTAATCCAAGATACTTAACTTCATACTTGCTTTCTATATCGGTATCATCGATTTTGCAAGGGTCATAGGAACCAACGGCTTCATTTAACTTTCGTTTACATCGGAAACTGAAATTAACAGTCTGACATTTGGAAGGATTAAGTTTAAGGCCGTTAGACGAAGACCATTTGCTAATTTCTGATAGAAAGTTGTTAATCTTAATACAGTCAAGTTGAGAGTTAACAGACATTGAAATAGTTAGATCATCGGCATACTTAACAAAGTTCATTTCATCGGAGTGAGGCAAGTCATGCAAGAAGAAAGAAAACAGAAAAGGAGAAAGGACAGCGCCTTGAGGGACACCAGCCTGAGTAAGCAATGAAGTGGACGACTTTCCCTGATATACAGTGTATTGCTTTCTTTCTGAGAAATAAGAATGGAGCCAGGTTAGATAACTATCATCGGCGACCTGTTCAAACCTTGGGCCATCGGAAACCTCCATCAATATATTGCAGATAATTTATCTTATCCAGTTGATTTTGATCTAGAAAAGTATGACCTTTAATAGTACTGTTTACTCTGGCAAGTATTCGAAACCCTTACCACCTGTTAATTCGCAAGTTTCTACAAAACATGAGTAAAAGCGTTATCCTCGATGACAGCTTATCCCAATACATGGGATGACCGTTCCTCAGTAGTGGTGTCCTTGGTTCACAAAATGTACTCTCGAACTTCTTATAATTGACATTCAACATAACATCGTCGTGTATTTCTCGAAACAGAAAAAGAGAAGATATCATAGTTGGATTGCTTTTGCGTTTCAGGTCAGATAGAACTGTGTTACACGATATACTGTCAATTATTCTTTCATTTGAAGTTCCTAGATGAAGAGAAAGTATCATGCAATAAACCCTACTGTAAATTCTGTACAGTTTATAAACATTGTTCAGAATAAAGCTATTATTTCACCTCGCGCTCTTCAAAATTCGATCTTTAACTTCGCATTTGTGCTTCTTAATACGACGTTGTTTGTAATTTGGTTGTGTACAGTGTTTAGCACAATGTAGGATGTAAATGTACTACAGTTTTACAGTCGAAATCACATTCAGCACCTCATAAATCCATTGCAATTGCTTAGTTGTTTCAAGAGGACTGGAATCATTAACAAGGCTAGAGAAGCGTGGTATTTAGACCAACTCACTAATCAAGACAAAGTTTTCTTTGCTTCGAGGACCTAGTCGATAGAATAAGATCAAAATGTCATAATAATCTATCGAATATCATTAAATTATCTTTGGCGGAATAGTTACCAGTTGGTTAGTGGTTGATTCGATAAGCGTTTGGTGAGAGCTGTCTGCAAGCCAAAATTTGTAGACAACAATTTAGGTCAATGTTTACCTCCCGAATCGGGGTCGTTTGAAGAAACAATAACAAAGCTTAACCTCGAGGAACTCACCAACTGATCAGACTTAACGTGTGAAATTTTGATTCGTAGATATATGGCTTAACTTTCCAAGAAACGGTCACAAGCAGTACAGGTTAATCTTCAGCCAGAAAACAACCAATCAGAAGACGTTGCTTCTCTGCTAACAATAACGCTAATAATAATGTATATAAAAATCTATAAATATCTCTTGATTTTCTCAATAAACGATCTGTTGTCTGGACCTTGTCTTCTGTCGTTACAAGCGGAACATAAGAAAACTTATACTACGTTTACAACGATCTACCCTGATAAGTTAAATAATCTCTAAAATGAAACTACATGGTATATGAACATCTTAGTGGAGTGGGTGAGTAATATTGAGCTTAGGCTTCGGTCGAGTGTTAGGTAACGAAGGAATATCAATCGATCACGTTGTGAAGTTGCACCGATCGAGATGGTTAGGAAATGTGTTACGCCTAGCCGATGATTTAAAAAGGCTGCACCAGCAGAAATGTATGGGAAACAGAATAATTACATTGAAAAATAACATGATGACTTAAAGCTAAGCGAGTTGACACAAGCAGTCAATGCAAATTTGTCAGTCATGGATTCTTAGCTTCCTGAGGATCGCAGCATGCGTAAGTAACACGTGTTGTCCAACCCATCTCTTATCAATCGGTGCAGAAGAACTACGCAATCTCATCCCATAGACTGGTGATAGATGATAAGCACTGATGCTGAAAAGGTTCCGCTCCCACTCAAAGGCACAGACAAAACCCACTCATCAATTTAAAACAATTTAATATGATTGATTCCATTATCAAATGAATGAATTTTTTATTGTTGATAATAATCAGGGTGAACCGAGAAAAAAGAACCAAAGAACAGAACCTGAACAAAACAGCAAAACAATGTGTATATGCGTACGTGTTTATATTTGTCGGTCTGTTTGTGTGTGTGTGTGTGTGACACTGGAGGATAATGTCACGATGGAAAAACCAGCACAGAAGAGAAGAAGACAAGAGTGGAGTGGATTGATCGGGAGTAATATAGGATAGATATGCATTTAACATTATCATTATCGTCATTGTCAATGGTCACATCATCATCATCACATTTCAACATGCAATCACTACTTCTAGTAGGTGGGGGAAGAGGCGGGATAAGTTGTTTATCATATCAAATCGACACCAACAGCAACAATAACAGAACAGAGGAGCGAGAATCGACTGGCTGGCTGGCTGATTGACTGACTGACTCTGTTCACATTCAGTATATCTTCTTTGTTGATAGTTGCGCCATGAATCATCACATCATTCCAATAAAGAGGAAAGAAAAGAAATACGGAATAAAAAACATGGTTTGACATAAACGAAGTCATGAACTGATTCTTTTTCCAGTGAATTAAGGCGCTGTCACATAAATCTTGCATATAGCATCGGCGCCAGCACTAGCCGCTAATGGGAGTTGTGGGTGTAGTGCCACTGAATGAACAGATTCATCGTACTTGAAACCATGATTTGTCATCTCTTGTACACAAGAATGTGTCTCCATATCCCATACACGAATTGAAGCATCATGACCTAAACAGAAAATGGAGAGAAAAATGATATGTAGATGGATTATGCTTTATTGGTGATGTGGTGATCAATGTCCAGTGTGGAAATAAACCAACGAGAATTGCTCAAAGTAAATACTGCCTGGGATGTAGGTAATTCCAGCTGACAAGTCTCAGTAGCATTCCACAGACTAATCACCATCACCTTCCCCTTTAAATAACCGCCTCAACACATCGATATTACAATAGAAGAGAGGGAAAAACAATACAGTATATCAACTTACTTCCTGTTAACAAATACAAACCATGCGGATCGACAGCCAGACTTGTAACAGCATTCAAGTGAGTAATCATTGCATCAACACAAGCTGTATTTGTTGTCAATGATCGATCAGACATTCGATTGATATCATAGAAACGAACACACCGATCTTCATGTGCACCAATAACCAGAGAAAGAGTCTGATGTGAACCTAATGCATTGACAGCACGATTAGTCCAATCATCAGATGACGGTAGGTTACATTTATCTGTGTCTGGGATATTACCTAAACAGAATAGAGAAATTGAAGAGCATAATACATATGAATCAACTATCATCAATACGGAGTTATGTCAACATAACCTATACACATTCTCAAGAGTTAGTTTGTAGGGATTTGATGTGTTTCAAGTTTGACCACGGACTGATATCAGTTACAAGAACCATTGAAAACCAGCCACAGGGTGTCCCAGTCAGCTGTTTCGTCTCCCACTATCGGAACTCATCGGCAGTAGGCACCCACCACTGGGGTTTTGGGTACCCGGGACCTTTCAGTTACAAGGAAAGCTCGTAGACTGTTCAGCCACTGGGACCCTACCCAACGGCGAGTGCATGAATTCTAACTTCTACCAATTCATGATTTTTGTGCGACAGTCAGTTCTCACAAACAAACAAGCACGCACATACACAACAGAATTATGATAGCTCGCTTATTATAGACCAACTGTATGACACTGCACAAGTAGTTCTAGAAAGATGATGTGCCACTAGTAAGTAACACGTACGCGCACACCCGTCGTGCAATCTCAGGGAATTCCTCCTTCAAGGAAAAAAATCAAAAATAACACACCTAAACATACCTAAATTGAGCGGATCATCTTCACCAGGTTTAGTCAATAGTGGAGGAGGAGGTGGAATTTGGTTGATCACTTGACCAGTTTGAACGTCTAACAAAACCAACCAGCCTGTACTTGTGCCGACAACACACTGTGAAGCAGTCAGCGAGTCTGGACGATTGACCAAGAAGTGTAGACATGTCGGACGACCAAATTCAGGTTGATCAGAATCTAAATTAATTAATAAATTCATGTACATTATTAACGACGTTGTTGTTATTATGAATAATAATGCTATAATACGCCATACGACTGAAATCCTCGTTATGCACACATTTAAGGTCAAGTGGTTTAGTGCGATATGGTTAGTGAAATTCGAAGAGGCTTACTGTCTTTCAAAACAGAGGTGTTCTGCATCCCGCACTCTTTTGCTAAGTGTAGAGTAATATACTGGGCAATATTGAAGCCAGAGGTGGAGTGTGTGAGGTGCTATGGAGGAAAAGTGGACTAATATCAAGTTGTTAAAAATTTAGCATCAACTGAGTGAGATATCTAGGGCGCGGTGTCATCCGATGGTCTCCGCAACACATGTCCAATATATCTCCATTTTCTGCCACATATTTGTTGGGCGATAGGTTCTTGGTTGGTTCGCTGTCAGAGTTCCTTGTTGCGTATCTATTCTGGCCACCTCATTTTCAGTATCAAGATAGGAAAGATAGTTGATGAAAGTCTTAAGTAGTCTGATGGAAATACTTTTGGTAATGAGTGTGGCAAGTTCTTGGCCCATATAGAAGAATTGACTGACTGACTTAACATTGTTGTTGAAAAACCAAACTTTGTTCTCAATGCTAAGGCAGAGGGGAGTGGTGTCCTTGAAATTTATTCCGTTGGTAGTGATTGATGCTTATTTTTATTGTTGGTGATTGTTCGTTATTCCCACTATCCCCGTCTTCTTTACGCTACATTGAAGTTCTGTTTTCGCTGGCTGCTTCTTCTGCCAGTTTGTTGGTTCTCGCCTGCAAATCCTCGAGTTTGTGTGACATTAGACATGAATCATTCGCATCACATTGAGATTTACTACACTCTTCCGTCCAACGTATTCCTGACTTCTCACTGAAGATGAGTTCAGTCAACTTTAATTATTATTGCCCTATCTTGCCATACCATGATATAACATAATTCTCCTACATTTTCACTATACATAAGTGTGTATGCGTGTTAGAGCGAGTCAGTGAAATGCTCAACGAAGACGAAAATTAAGACTTTTATTGAAATTGTGTCCACCAGATGATAAAAGAGAAAACACAATATTAAACTTACTACTGGTAGGCTGGATAAGACGATCCAAGTGGACAGAAAGAACTGGAGTACTTGGTGAAGCATTATTATCAGAGGAATCCACCACTGTAGACCAAAAATCAATTGAACCATTCGCATGAGCAGCAAGCAACAGTGGACTAGATGGGTGTAATGCAATCGACCAAACTGGAGAAGATGAACCTATGAAGAAATTAAGAGAAGGAATGCATTTACACACTATTTTTGTGTGCATATAATGTTAGAGGATAAGGAGCCATCTACATCATATAAGAAATCTTAATCAAGACGTATGAGGACATTCACGAATAATCTATGAAGCAGTTGGTAATCAGGACTGTTGTGTTTCACACTGTCTTGTGCTTTAGTGTGAAACATAAGGTCTTAGAGACCTTTAAAGGGTGGCCAACCTAAAGAATAGCTATCGTGACCATTGAAAGCTTAAAGTTCATTGGATTACAGAGCGTGACATTATATTACATCGCTAATATGATGAACACTGTTTGAGTAAAATGAAACCTACAAAACAGTTGATAACTGGAACGTTTAAGATGCTAATTACAAAGAAGGTTTGAATTTCCAACAAAAATGTGTCAAAACAGTAAGTATTTCTAGGTACGGTTTGGAGACTTTAGATGAGCAGCACCAAAAGCATTTATAACAAAATACCAATGCTACTACTGAAATTCATAAGCAGTTTAGCCTGTGCTGGCAAGACTTTGGAAATTAGGAAGGCCTAATAACAAGGACTCCCTGCAACGAATCGTCCAAGAAGGAAATGGAAATGGATTGGATACGCAACTTACTGCTAAAAACTGGACCAGTTACCACATCCAACTCTTGGGGTGCGTGCAAATCGATCGATGAAAGACTACCTGATGCAACAGCAGTAGACGGTAGACGCCATCCACGGACAGTACCATCCAGACCGCCTGAATAAACGATAGTTGTACTCAGTGTTGGTGCAAGCGCTGGACTTGGTGCAGCAAGACAGAGGACAGGGCCTTTATGACCCCAATAAACAACAACTGGGCTTAATTCATCAATTGCAGCCGATTGAGCAACGAAACCAAATATTTTCCCTGGGGAGACAGTCTGAGAAAAGAAAAGGAAACGGGATTTGAAACACTATTTATAAAGAAAACAGGAGACGATGATAAACTTACTAAAATTACCTATTTTTTTGGATTTGAAGTGATTACGTAAAAGTTATTCTTGGAATTACTTGGAAACATTTACTTATTTACCGATACGAATTCATTTAAAACAAGCGGTCGGTCGGTCGGTTCTCGATACAGAACTTTGCACATATGTGCGGCAGTCGCCACACTCCATGTAGCACACAAAGGAAGAGAAGAAAGTAGGAGAAATGCATAATATAGACAGTAAACAGAGGTGTGAGACAAAGGAATAGTAATAACGAAGAACGAAACAGTTTCATTGGAAATCATAAGTCACAAGGAGTGGATGCATCTGCGCTATGCATTGACAACAATTTTGAGCCATATCACCAATTGTTTCCAACCATTGGTTTTTACAATCCCGAGGACCTCAACCAGGAAGTCTACACCTTCCTACGTGGCTGGCTTAGACTAACTGTTGTAGATTTCATTGACTGGTGCCATGTTTTCGTTTGCCCACCACTGGCTCTTTTCCAACCTGACCCTATTTCAGCTAACATTGCCCAACGAGGAAGGCGATGGCTAGACATACGTAACACATGTCCTAACCATCTCAGCCGATGTAATTTCACAGTCTCGTCGACTGATTTCCCCGCCTTACCTAGCACTCGACGCCTAACCTCAATATTGCTCACCTTATTATATCACTTCACGCGGGAGATAGAACGCAAGCAATAAATGTTAGTTAGTAAAGCAGGATGAAGCTGTGTGCCACTTGAAGGCGATGACACACAAGAAGTGGTGGTTACACACAAAGGCTTGATGAAGCTATTAGAACTTATTTGGCTGCAAAGCCTGTATTCCATAACACCATTAAGAAGGTTCTTCAGCAATCTGGAAAGAAAAGGTGCTCAGCGAAGAGTGATTTCTTTTTTAAGCAATATCCATTCTCAAGCAGTACAACCCTATATATATATATATATATATATATATATATATATCGAAATTCTGTTAGCAACGAAAGGAATATTTCCAAAGATGTGTCATTAGAACTGTAATTTTTCAGATAACAAATTACGCAATATAAAAAGGCATTGATCACGTAGAAACTCAAATAAAATTAGATAAGTAGACTGAATTACACAATCTGATTGATGAGATTGAGTAGAATTCAAATAAAACCCGACGAGAGTCAAGTTAACAAGAGCGGTATTAAGGGGAATAATAACGCTAAAAAGGATAGCTCTTCGCGCAAAAGCCTGGTGTCAGACACTAGGTAGTATTTAATGTCATCAGCCTAGTCCTTTGTTAGCTGCAAATTTAATTCTATCAGTGAAGTTTTCAATGTGGCCGCCAATATGCTGGGTGGTTCGCCGCCACGGTGCACTTTGAATTTTTAAATCGTTCGGGGCAATAGGCAGGAAGTCTTAGACTTAGGTTCCGTGCTTATTTGCACTCACAAATCAGCAAGGCGGATCTTCGGTGTTGATGGATATTGGACTGTTGGTTTACCTAAGAGATACAATAAATGAGGGCAGTTACCCAGGAAGCAAGTAAGCATACTTGTCAGGGTCATTGATCATCCATTACTTCATATTACTTCCACAATAAGGAATAAAACAAGGAGATTGCAGCATGTTCGCCATTCGGTTACGATTCTCGCGCACATTATCTGATAACGTCTAGAGCTATCAATTCGAACTACCTCTTGGACCCCACCATCTATACGGGAGTCGAGTTGTGCCCGCAGTGCTACGTCATGCAGATTGATCACACCTGTTTTTTTCATCCGGTCCAATACAAGCCTCCTCTGGGATAATATTCTCATAGCACATGTCTAAGATAAAGAAGCCAGAATTGCTCAGTTGACAACACTCAATGAATGTTAACATTGATACCGTATCCAAACACAAACAATGGAAAACGAAAACTGACGGGACGTCATGAAAACACCACAGGTTTGTCACAAGCGTAAGTGTCGACAGGTGGGTCCTCATGTCTGCTTTTTTCCTATGGAGTAATGATCGCTACTTTCACAGACCTATTTAGTGGAAATGCCTATTGACAGTGATCATTCACAGTTATTCTCTCTCTCTCTCTCCCGCTCGCCTTTGGTTCAGACTGTCGTATAAATATTTTAATTACAGTCTCCATGAAAGACATGATACGCCAATAGTGAATAGACTTCGGTTTCCCCTGAGAAATGCTCACGCGCGGTCATCCGTTCACAGCTTTTACCAACAGCTAACCCGTAATCACTACGTTGAGGTGGCTTTGGGAATGTTCCTCACGAATAAGAAAGGGCTACCTAGCTAGGAGAGACAGAAAAACTTGACCATTCCAAACGCAAGATGTGTATATGGGATTCGGGATCAGAAAGGATCGAATGGAGTACATGAAACGGTTTCTGGTTACCGTCAACCATTGGGACGCAGCTCCACTGCTTTGTGCATGAGACATCAAGTCAAATGGTCGCAGATGGCCCTTTGCTTCGATTCAGGCAACAGGTCAGAAAGTATCCCAGTTCCCGCACAAACTTTTCCACTTCATGTGGTGAGTAGTTAGAGTAACTATAACGTACCAAGTTTTAATTTTTTTTAAATAAATAAAAGTACAGAATGAAAATTCAAATAACAAACAGGCAATAACACCTACTGTGCCAGAAGCTCCACTTTTCAATAAATCCCATAACATAACACACCCATCTTCACTAGCTGTGTAAACAGCACGTTCAGTTGGGTGGAATGCCACACTCCTGATCCCGTCGAAATGTCCCCGAAGTGTATACTTTGGCATCCATGGTCGACGTCCAGTCGATAAGGGTGATGTGGAACTAGCTCCATGCAGCACATCGGTATGTGCCTCATGACCACCAGAAATAGTTGGATCATAATTACTTGTAGGTAATGTCGTCGTGTTTAAATCACAAACTTCACCATCTATGAAGACAAAAAATAGAGATAACATATAATAATATAGATTTACATAACGGAAATGAGACAAATAGGGGGCACGTGTGTACTCTACCGTCTTTTATGGCCATGATATGGCTATTGAAAGTGAAGATATTGGAAAAACGCTAGCTAGCTATCTTTGATCACAGATGCCAGCGTTTCATCTCTCGTGTTAGGTGGTATGATCTGGTGAATAACCATATTGACGTAAGACAGTGTTAGATGAGGAGTAAGGAAAGTCAATCGATAAGGTTATGAAGCAGCTGCACCGATTGAGGAGATGGCTAGGATACACGTGTAACGTGTGCGAGCTGAGACAATCCGGAGACAACAGGTGATGTGGCTCGAAATCACATTCAATACCCAGGATCTCCCATATCCAGTAAACCCAAAAGTTCTTCCCCGATGTTAGTATTCTCTCCCCCTTACACTTCTGCATATTATCGTTCTTTCGTATCTCTTTTTTCCCTTTTTCCGTCCTCTGTGTGCTACAAGGAGAGCGGCAACTCGAACTGCTGAACCTCTGTGCAAAGTTCTATGTTAAAACCAGTCAGTTAATAAGCAAGCTGAGTCAGCACGCCTTTCTCGACGAGAAGTATTAGGCGAAAAGTGGTCACACCAAAAACTGACATCAATCCATGAAGTTCTGTGACAGTTGATTTGAGCCAGACATCTCGGAAGATGTAAACTACCTGGCTAGTTGGGAACCATGAAGTGCTAAGAACAAATGGTCGAAGACTATGGATTATATGGCACTTCTGTGCAAAGTTTCATCTGGACACTCAGTCATATAAAGTATGGGTGTATCACTCTCAGATATAGACAGTGAGATAGCACTCTACTGGTTGGCGACGTTCAGAAAGCGATTTACTCTAAAGAGTTTAAAATGTTCCCTGTTATAAAAAGTAAACAGATTTGTTGTTAGGGTGGTGATAACTCAGTGGCACGTTGCGCAATCAGAGAGAGTAAGCTTAACCCGTAAGATTGGCAATTCAAAGCCTTGGTGTGTACAAAGTAGAAGGAGTAACTGTATGATAAGATGTTTGTAGTCCGTTTTATGTTTTTGCAACTCATTTTCAATCCTTCACTCCCCTGCCTCTTATCAAATTTTTCCACACTATTATTCATCACTCGGTTAATTAGTTGTCAATCCTCTTGATTAGATAAGACAATTCTTAATTTTCCCAAACGGTTATTATCATCATGCACCTTGATTTGCTTTTTCTCTAACTGACAATAACCTTTGACCTCTGTTATCAGTCGACATTGAGAAGTTATGAAAAGTGGAGATCACTCTGCTGACTCATGCATCTCTAATAAACAAAGTCTCTAGGATAATTGCAGTCTAGGCCTACGATGGATTTATTTTGAATACACAGAGATCAGGTTTCAGCTGTCACTCCGACAGACCCATCAACAAACCCTAATTTTTCGCTTGACTTGATATTATTACCCTTCGCTTTTTGACCCTTTGATTTTTAATCACTGTATTACGCAATCGCCATATTTCCATTTGACCTCACGCACATCAAAATATTTTGACTTCTCAATCTTCTGAGTGGAGACAGTTTGCAGTCTGCGTTAACTAAGGTGCTAGGTAGCATCTGGGAGTCTGGGAATCAGAGGAAGTTCCGTCAGGTTGGTGTAAGTCTCTGAAAAGAAGGGAAACAAGTCTTCCTGTGATAATCACAGAGGTATTAGCTCGACTAATATGGTATCTAAAGTCCTAGGCTCAATAATCATGCGTAGACTAAGCGGTGCTCGAGAGGAACAAACACGAGAGAACCAGGCAGGCTTTAGACCAGGAAGAGGGTGTATCGATCATGTCTTCACCCTACGACAGATTCTGGGACATAGGCATACTTACCGGTGTCCAACAATCATTATATTTCTTGACCTAAAGTCAGTATTCGATTCTGTCGACCGAGAAGTAGTATGGAGATGCTTGGTTGTGAAGGGAATACCGAGAAAATACATTGCACTGATCGAGGCACTCACTCTACTCGAACTCATGCAGCTAGGGGAGAGCTTATGGCAAGTGGTCATCTGAACTGGTGATAACTAGTGGTGTCCGTCAGGGATGACCACTATACCCATTTCTATTCAATTTAATCACAGATGTACTAATGGACTTAACCTTAACTCACTTCACAGACTCAGAGATTGACTTGTTACCACCAGGGAATAATCTTGTTGACTTAGAATGTGCAGATGATATAGTCCTCCCTGCTAGGTGAAGATGCTGACAAATTGCAGTCTTCTGAACACCTTGAGCTGCAATCTTCGAATGTTTGGCATGCGATTCGCTCCCGCTAAATGTAAGATGATGAGACTACAGGACTCGACTACACTGACTCGTAGCTCAGAAATAGGGAGTGAAGTGGTAGAGCGTGTTGGCCACTTCACTTATTTGGGGAGTTGCATCAGCCAACGCCAACAGGTTGATCGCTGACAAAATCTCAGCACGGATACAGAAGGCTAGTTTCACATAGGCCAGTTTATATCAGCCCTAGCGTAGACGTGATATATAGATATACATATGTTGTTGTAACAGGGTTTTCCAAATGTCTAGGTGTGCGAAAATCACTCCTACTGTAAGTACGTTTTCAGTGGTTTTGATAAATAAAGCTACCGTTATCACCAGCCTCTACCACTACATACTGTCATATTAGGTTTTAAAGACAGTCATATTATCACATCTTACTGTACGCTAGCATAAAACTTCATATGGTGATATAGCTGAGCTATTTTCTAGGATTCTTATCTTAGTGTAGGGTCAAATAATCTGGATTTTGTTAAGTTTGTGCTCCGCTATTCCAAGTGACGTCTGCCCTTAGTGTAGGATACTAAATAAACTAAACTGAATTAATTTGTTTGATGGCATCAGTAGGATCGATCTTTGTGGTGGTCTGAATGTCAACCCTCTTTCTACGCCTGGATTGATAAGCACTTTACGTTAGGCGGTTTCAGAGGTTCCTTCGTTGTGTGAATGCTCTACTACTGATGTTTTAAATTCCTTTGTGTTGCGTGTGGTGTTTGAATGCGTGGGGCTGGGTTTTCTGTAAACACTAGCGTATCTGTCTATCTTTTCCTCCCCAGTTATTGTCTCATAGTTTGTGCGACGGATCACATACTTAATGTCCGAACGCCCAAACCGAAACAGTTGGTGGTTGCCTTAAAGGGACACTACTCCGTACCCACGTCTTTCACTTGAGTTCTGACCTACAAGGCAGTGAAGTGGAGCAGTGTCAGGTGCCACTCCATTCTCATGATTGACGGTGACCAGAGAAAGGTTTACACGTCTTTCGGATTGTGGAGCACATGCATATAAACACATGTTTCGAATCAATCCGGGTTTTCCAGCTCTGCAGAAAGATAGACTTACACGTCTTCCACCAGTCAGGTTACGCGTATGTCTGATATAGCTTGAAGGCAGTGGCCACATGAGAGCATTTGGAGGGGGAGATTGAAGTCTACCCACCTTCAACAGCAACTGGTCGTTTCTTTGCACTTCTCTTCATGCTTATTTATATTCCTCATAATAGACAGAAGTGCATTTGCACGTATTCTGGGATTTGATTCCTGGCCACTGACGCCCTCCCAAGCCCCAACTGCTTAGCCAGTGAATGTCGCTCAGTAAAGGTCGCAGGTTAGGTGAGAGTGAGACTAGCAAGTTACAACCCGTAAAAACAATATCATTGCTACTGAAATCTCAAAGCTCCAGGACTGAAACCCTTAAAATTCCACTTGGGACATGGAGAGAAAAAGCTCACGGAATAAATAATGAATTGACATACACAAGTATTTGTATTTTGATTTGACACTAGTAACTAGTTTCTTTTTAAGGAACTCATGTCCCTTCTGAGTGACGCGGGTTCGAATCTCAGAAGGGACATGAGTTCCTTCAAGGTTGCAGATACGCCCTGCTGACGAGTGCCAACTAGCACGAAACCTAGGTCCAAGGCTTCCTGCCGATTGCCTCCAACCACCTAATATCATCACAAGTATTTGATCCCCTTGACTAACACTAACTTCCTTTACTGTTACAGCGGTTGTTTTTTCTTGTAAGACAACAATGCATCTGTGATGAGGGCTGCTCAGCAACCAGTCTCATTAGAATTGATGCAACTTCTTAATCATTCTATCCATAACTATCTACAGACCAAGAGTCGATGTAAACTAGCCTCGTGCAGTACTATTTCACTGGGAACATCACCCACTGACTGGGGTAGAAGATAAACATCCAGATAACTGGCGAGTTCATACTGAATCTTAAACTGCGAGACACTATCATCAACCAGGAATCTTCAGATACTGGTTTATAACATTTACCTCAAGTCAGTTAGTGAGTTCTATATTCATATATACGTTTCGGAGGCGGCGCACGTGCGTCACCAAAAGCACTTTTCCTAAAGGCTATTGCCGACTTTTATCAATAGCTACCTAGATTAGGTAAGCAAGCAACAAGGAATTCGACTGACTGACTGGTTTCAACGTAGAACTTTGCACAGAAGTGCAGCAACAACTGAAGTTGACATACTTCAAGCCCCATACAAAGGAAGACAACAGAAACAGAAAAACATATTGGAAAGGACGATAATAAGCAGAAATGTGAGGGAGAAAAAAAAAGCAACATGGAAGAACAATACGGTCTAATGGATATGTAAGATCACAGAGAGTGTATGTATCAAAGCCATTAAGAACGACTTCAAGCCATATCACTTCTTACCATCCTGAGGACCCCAACACCTCCATACGTGGTTAGCTTAAACTAACCATTAAAGATTTCACGGACTGATGCCATGCTTTTGTTTGGCCACCACTAGCTTTTTTCCAACCTAATTCCATGTCAGCTAACATTGCCAATAGAGGAACGTAATGGCTTCATTTCATGTTCGTTCAATCGTAGGCGAAAACGGGCGAGGATGATGGCGTGGTCGGAGTCTACGTATGTGTTCCAGAAAGGGAGGCAGTCTCCTACCAACTCTCGATAACGATAGATTATCGTCACGCGGTCCATTCGAGTCCATCGTGGATATAATGATCGAGATCACCGGGTTGGGTAATGCCTCTTGTTTGAAATCAGTGTTACCCAGGAACAGATGATTATCTGCACGGAACTGTAGAAGAGGAGCAATGGAATTTTGTCAAAATAAAATCAACCAACAGCTACCTATTACCTACCAAGAACCCTGAAGTAAAAATGGAGATAGATGGATTGGGCACAGAACGCTGAGAAGGCTGTTGAGTAACATCGTGTAGCCAGCCAGCCAACCAACTGAAAAAGACTGCAGAGTGAAGTGGAGATGTGTCCCGGATTAGAAGCTCTATGTTCCGATTTATCAGTCACAATCACCCAGGGGAATGCAGCAACAAACGAAAAGAGATTGAGAACAGAAAAAAGAAAATGAATAAATTAACTCACTTAATAATGGATCCACTTCATTGATGACAGTTAGACCAGCTAAATCACCAAGTCCCAAACGATCAGCTGCACTAGCATCTTTACCTGAATCTAAACGACTAATCCCCTTTGTACCGACACCAGTAGAATCCGAAATGCTAGGATCTGTTAGAAAGGTACTAGTACCACTACTACTATTTTGAATTGGTGTATTCAATAATTTATGATTTGGCATAGCAGAAGAAGCATTCTGAGCTGCTGCTGAGGCAGCGGTAGCAGCAGCCGTTGAATTAATCTCAGATAAAAAATTATCATTGTCATCCACCTTATCTGATAATGCATTGATCAGATCCTGAGGGGGAAAGAATAAGAAAAACAGATCACAAAAATAAATAAATAAAAATTAGTCAAACAACAGAGAGACAGTTGTTTTATCCTCCTAGTTTGGGGTTCCTCAGAAGTATGCCCCCACGACCACCCTCCTGGGGACTGGAACCCTGAACCTTTAGTCCACGACCAAACTTTGAAACAAAACATCAAATCTCCCACTCCACAACTGAACACACTTGAAAAATTATGCTGTGTTCACCAGTGAATGACTGATCACAGGGTGAAGTTGCCTGGATTATTCTAGTGAGAAGTTGTGACCACTAGGGTCTACCAAGTCATTCGTCGGGTGTGAGCACATGCACTTACAGATGACATTGGCAGGAGGTATTTACGCTAAAAACTTCCAATTGAGAGGAGTTTGGATTTATGGACAGTCGACTACTGGACTGCGTCCTTCCAGTGGTTAACGAACTTGATCTCGTAACCAAGTAACTACTACTAGCGGGTGAACAATGGTGTTCTCCAACTGACATCAATCTGTGGTCACACTTGGGATAAAACGAATCAGTGAACAGAGTTAAGAATGACTGATTTATCAGTGTAGAACAAAAGCAGGCGAGCCCAGTAGGACAAGGTTAGTAATAATAGTGGACACGTGGTTCATTGTTGGCTCACTGAAACATTCGACTTTCAGTTAAATGCTCCATGTACTTACTTCAGTCCACCTACTTGACAACTGGATAGTATATTCAGCCACCAAACAATAACTGATTGACTGAGTTTTAATAAAAGTATTAATAATTACAATGCAACCAGCTCAAAAGCGTATGGAAAAACTAAATATGACAAAGAAAAAGTCTTCCTTACCAGAATATTTGAATCCACTGCATGTTTGCGACCAAATCGTTTCGACTGTCCTGCACTGCCAACCTCACCCAAACTATTTAGAAATGATGACACTGTGGTACTTGAAGTGGTGTTCTTTGAATTTGGCTATATTGATTTTAGAAAAAATTGATATTTAAAGGAAAGAAAAGGAAAAATTAAGCTTACATATTTTCATTAGCTTTCATAAGACAGCAATTTACACCAGATGTTAATAATACTGAAACTGTAACACAAAGTCTGAGAAGAGTCAATTCAAAGGATCATTAAACCAGCTAAGATACATCGGCTGTTTATTCACCAGCCAAAGAATACCCAATTGGCTGGTCTTAGTGAGAAGTTGTGATTAACGGTGTCCACCAAGTCATCGGTAGCTGGCAATGGCGCTAAACCGCCAATTTGCAGAAATTCGAACTGATGGGCTATCGACAGAACGGTATGAAAGTTTATGTTGTTGCCTTAAGGTCCCAACTTCGATTCCAATCAGTAGGTTGATGAGTGCTTAATACTAAAGTCTCTAACAGAGACGAAACACCTGTCAAGTACTTTCTGGTCTTCTAACTGATACCAATTCCTGATCAGAATTGCATATATAGTTCACAGAGAGAGTGAAGACCACCTGATTTCGCCTCTTTCATGTGTATTTAACGGTTTAACAGCTCCGATGAGGCGAGTTCAGTATAGAATTTCTGAACACCACCCCCACTCATCTTGGTCAGGCAAAGCACTGAATAAAGCCATACGCATCTAACAAGACTGGATTATCTTCTCAATATTTGGCGTCAGGTGGACACCAACAAAGCTTCTCAAAGCTATTCACCACCATTCATCCAACTTCTCCCTCTACTAATGTAACTTCCACACCCAATAGAGAATATTGAAATTCTTCAAAATAAGGCAGACTTGTGCATCTTCAAAAGGAATTTATGTGGTCCCTTTGTTTGTATGTTGGTACTCTTCTAACGTAAATTATTCGTCTATTCTTCTTAAACATTTTATAAATTATCATTATGTAACAACTTGTTGCTAAACCACCACAAATTAACTGATACTGATTGATGCAATCAATCATTTTTACCCCTCTCCCATAACCTCATGTTGCGTTATATCAAGTAAGGTTATCTAATATACGATCGGACACCTGGCTTACGCAAGTTTACAAAGGGAAACCAAACCTGTCTGAGAATAATTTCACTCGTCACTACATGACAGGCAGACGAAATAGATGGCTGGTTGGAGAGGTTGTTAACCTCACGACACACCCAACCCTCCCTTTCTTTTTGCCGAAATTATTACCGCCAGCTTAGCGGTGAGGTAAATTTGGAGTCGTTGGCCGAGAATCGAACCCCATACCTGTCGTGCAATTTTGAAGTGACTACGTCATAATAAATCACATGAAAAAATGGAAATGATTCTCCATTACTTTCTTTCTTTTCACTCACTTCATCTTCTTGAACATAATCTGACTGATCTTGCGGTCTGCGCTTCGATGTATCATTAGTCCGACGAAAACGATTCACCCAACCTGATGAATCATACGATTCAGAATTATCCTCACAACCCGCTAATGAATTCCCTGTAGTATCTGGCTGCGTCGACCGGTCACCTAACTCATTATTCATGCCTAAATTATCGTTGGGTGAAAGAAAATCTTGTGCTGATCGGACAGCATCTTCTATCTCAGCCAGTGCGTTCTTAGCTTGTTCATCATGCAGGCTAAAATAAAATACAACATAATAACATAACATAAGGTTAAGCAATAAGACCATAGTATTAATTATTATCCTTTCCATTCTTAAATCTCATCACTTTAAACAGCCTAGCGCAGTCGAGGGTGGGCAACAAGCACGGTGGGAACACACTGTTTTCAAAAGAAAACGCCTCACTCCTTTGCTTAGGGAATTTGGTGTGCCTCATGGAGGCCGTACTTTATTTTTCCCACCGTATTCCTCTAAACCTGATTTTTCTAAATATCCTGATGATTTGACAAATTCTGCCCCAACCGTCTCCGCAATGGATTTTGTTCTGAAATGGATAGTTTCCTATCTAAGGTTAGTTAACCAATGGCCTTATTCAAACGGTCTTAAAGTGACCCCCCTGCCCAAATTTATCAGATTCTTTTTAGCTTCAAACGTAAACAAGACTTGAGTGGAGAGATTAAGTCACATGGTTCTTAGTATATTGAGGGCACCATGCAATGGGGAGTAAATCAAATATCTCTTATCTTGTCGGCATCAGTTTCCCTTCAAATCTCTGTTGTTGATTATCGTTGCATATCTTGACTTCCAAACATAAAATACTTCGCTTAACTCATTACTTAATAAGTAAGTTGAGACTTCCTGGAATCATAACTCAACCTCTTCTCTTACAATCTATTAATCCATGTATTTTCCATTATTGTTACCCCCAGTTATCCTTCCCTGAGCTTCTTAAAAGAAACCATTTAGTATATCAAGTAGAAAACTGAGGGCATTAATAAGTAGGGTTAGCAGATTAGTGCCTCTGACTCAACTAACTGATATCAATATTGTTAACAAGTGCATTTTTCACTTTGAAAAGCACTTAGTTGACTTAAATTATCTTGTCTGGTAGCGAACATCCTCTCCACCCATTTGTAACTTTTCCTTGTATCTCTCCTGTGGTGAGACCAGAAGAAATTTCGTAAGAATTTATGCTCGCATAGCTACTTAATATAAAAACTCAACCATACCATATGTGGCACCAATTTTGTATGGGGACAAGATTCAGAAAACAGCTTATAAACCTGCCTGTCAATTCAGTACACAAACAGCAATTTACAACCGGAACTATCATTATATATATATATATATATATATATTCATTAGTCATCATATTCCACTAACTTTCAGTTTTTGCGGCGTTTGATTATTTTTACCTTTTTACGTATTTATAAAAGGAGCTAAAATATTGCAACATGTTAAAAACTCTGAAAATTCCATTCTGCATAATCATTATGGTTGTTTGGAATAAAGTGACTTCGTTATTATTACTATTATTATTAATGATTCGGCGATTAAGGCCTCTCTCATGAGATACAACCGGATAAAGGTTCTGAATTTGTTTTACTAAACCTGCGATTCAGTGATATGAATAGTTCTGCTTATCCAGTTAACACAACTTACTTTGAATTATCGCCTGCCTTTGATTTAGCCTTATCAAAAGGCCAGAAGTTTGGCTTATTCTTTGAATCCAGTCCTGATAGCGGCAAGTCAGATTCATTTGGCCAACCGGCGGCGGACAGTAGCAGTTGGCGAACACGTGCCTCACGAACACTGAGAACAGCGTCGGCATAACCAACTTCTTGAAGAAACCTGGATTTTTTTAAAGTACGAAAATGCTATTGTTACCATTATTACAACACAAACTTGATGTACACATTATGGACATCAAGAGATGCGCCACACTAAATCTCAGTTTGTCCAAGGGCTGGAATAGTTAATGCCCCGACGCTAAGACCGTAGCAGGTAGAGGTTGTCTTATGGGGCCACTGCCCACTCCACAGACTTTGACTTGAAGTGTGATACACAAGGCAGTGCAACCGAGTAGCGTCAGGAGCTTCCGCATTCCCATGGATTCCGGTGACCGAAACAGGTACATATACAATTCGATCCTTTCGGGTTCCGGAGCACATGTACACTATAGATTTAGAATCAATCGGGGCTTTCCAGCTCCCTTATTATAGTCATGTACATTTGTTATAAACTGCTAAAGCATAAATTTCACTTGCACATCAAAGGCATCATGAAACTCAAAAAAATATATAGCACTTCCAGTCATCACAAAGCGCTGCGGTGACTACGTTTTGCCTAACTACTTACCACTTAAGGTGACCAATAGCGACTTCACTGACTGAGTTTCACTCGGCAGAGAACTTTGCACAGAAGTGCACCTCTTCAAACAACCACACATCACTTAGCACACGAAAGCAGAGAAAACACGGTTTAAAGGGGCTAATAATGGGCAGAAATATAGAGAAAGAATGGTAACAAAGAGAAATTTGAGAATTAAATGAAATTGGGAGATTACGAATGCATCTGGAACGACTACGAGTCTGCCTCCAGCCAGACAGTCTACATCCGCATAACTGCCCGATTCAAACTGTCAAAGACGCCATGAATTGATTCAAGGATTTGTTGTCCCAACACTAACTCATGAGAACTAAATAATCCTGTCAGCTAACAATGTCCGACGAGGAAGGCAGTGGCTTGGCCAGTGCAACTTTTATATCCAAAAGCTTCGCTGTGCCAGTCGCAGCTTCTTAAGCAGAATTATTAATCAAAATATATGGTCGAAAATTACATGAATTAATGTGAACTCACTCAACGGTTACTTGTCAGGAGATATTTGTACTGGTAGAGCAATGTAAAGTGTAATGTGTTCAGATAAATTTTGTTTTGATTTTCTAAACATGCTGGGATCATTTTATGATTATTCAATCCTACCCAGTGCTCATGTTATTCCCAGACTCGTAAAATCGGTGCTCTACATATAATTTTGACGATATATCGTCGTTTATCCCTCCCATAAATGGCCTGGTACAACCGAGGGTGGGCAGACATCATTCTTCCTCTCGAATTGCTCACGTATGGCCTTTTGACCTCTGTCAGGTAAGTTCTGCTCAACTGTCTTCAAGCAGTAAGGAAGGTTCTAACAAAAATAAATGAGGGCAAATGCGTGCGACTGGCGCTGACCACCTAGGGGAGGTGGAAAGCCGATTCCTAACTTTCTATCCACATAGGCTGCGGAAACCAAGGATCGAAACTGTCACTGTCAATCACAGGAACAGTTCCTGATACTGTTCTACTATCTCATATATCACACATAAACACGGTGACAACCTGCTTCGATATGGACGCGCGAATAGTACTTCAGCCCTAACAAACGTGTGGTACATGCCTTCGCGCTCATATTATACCTCAATTGTAATGATATTAGTATTAATCGTGTTCCCATTAACATTGTAAAACATCACGCTTAAAACTTGAAGAATGGTGCGGAATAAAATTTATTGAACTATACATGGGAAACCAATGAAACCTCACGCCAAAAAATAGTAATAATAACAACGATGTTTCTGAATATTCTTTTAAAATAACTTACTGTTTAAGACGTAACCGACTCTCTCGCCACTTGACATTACTTTCTAATGTTTGCTCTGTGAACTGAGCAAGTTTTTCTCGTGGTTCAAGAACAGTTTTTGTCGTAGCAGCGGTAGTGGCTAGTTCAGCCTTAGCATCCGTTGGAGGATTAGTCGACTCCTGATTGCCTGATTGTCTGACTGCATGAGGTGATGCGTTACCAGCAGCAATTGATGCTTTATATTGATGAAATTTGACACGCTCTTGTTTCAAACCATACTCTAACATTTTAATACGTCGTACTAAGTCTTGTTTGAGATTCTCCTGTCCACGACGTTCGCCTTGAAGGAATGCTATTCGTGCCTATATGTATATAAATGGGAAGTAAAATGAATTAAACGATATGCTACGAAATACCAAACACACTAAATAATAATCAGTTAGATATGTACATCAAACAGCAATGCGTGTGATTTATTGGCATAATGTTAGCCAACTACACACATGGTCTCAGGTTTCATTTCCGGCCGCTGCAGGACTCCTGAAACCCTCTCAGTCAGCAGTACGCCTAATAATTATGGAAGATAAAGTGCAAGGCTAGTGACCCCTTTCTGCAAAACTCCCGGCTGCTGAAACTTTAAAAGCGCAAGGTTGAAGCAGTGTTCCATTCAGAAGGCAAAGGAGTGCAAAAAGAGCGACCCTGGAAACGAGAGTACTAAAGTTTAACTCTTAAAATTTGCAGAATGACGATGAATTACTACTGAGACTTCCTGAAAATCTGCGACCTCGTCACGGTGGTTGAGCACTTTACAGTGAACCAACGACTGGGTCTCTGAAATCACATTTCCGGTTACACAATTACTGTATACATTCTTTAAGGAATTGTGAAATATAAGCAATACCAGTGAGTGCAAATTTGGACGAAGAAACTATGGAAGCCACCAAATGAACTTCACCAAAAACTTATTATAATTATAAATACCGTGTATACGTTAGGGCTACGGTCGAAACTAGGGTTAGGAGTCACCATCAAGGGTTCGATTTGAGTTAGGACATAAGGATAGGTGTTAGATTAAGGTGATTAGGTTAGGGTAAGGCGGGATTTTCCCACTAACTAGTCTGAACGCCCGCATATACAAATGCTGACAAATCCAAGGGAAGAAATATTTTGTGGCAACCACTTGAGTACATACCCTCCGATAAAATGGCTAGTTCCAGGATATAACCACACGATGCTGCCTATTCTCCATCTGCTTAACGAGCTCCAAGAAGATCGAGTATCTCAATAGTATGTGTAACATTAACTGATTAGTTAATATTACCGTACAACTGTGTGATTTATCAAAATAAAATCTTATCCATAAGAGACAGGTGAACTGATTTGAAATAAATCCTTATAGATAACTTTGTCAATATTCTACGAAAGAACAATATCTAATCTTCATCGAAGTGCCACAGATTTACCACTATAGAAATCATAGATATACACAAAAAGGAATCTTTTGCGATCCGCTAACCTGTAGCTCTGCTCGTTCCACTTCCCACTGAGAACGTTGCATCTCCAGGCGTGTCCATTCTGTTTGCAGGAAATGCAGAACTCCTTGAATTGTATAATGAGGACCATTGTCCTTTGAGTCCATCTGTGCACTTTCATCTGATCGTCCATATGCCTCTCCACCAACACGTTCAAAAACATCTGAGTTCTCTAACCTTACTCCGGACATAACATTCAACGAACGCGCTGAATAGTTGGGTAACAGATTTAAACAAGCTAGTCTTCTTTTTGGTAAAAAAATTCCAATGTTAGATATTAAAGGTGGTTAAGAGGTGAATTAAAAGTGGCCTTATTTTTATGCGAGTAGTTCTGTATCTAAATCACTAAACACTGGCAGCCAGTACTTGGCTGTAGGCTTTTCGATCAGCTGACACTCATTGTCTACTTCTAGTGAGGGAAGTGTGATACTTGTTCGTGTGACTACACAATTTTTTTTGATTTGCAGCTTGATTCCACACCGTATTTTCAGTACAAGTGTGGAATTTTCAGCATGGATATCGGTTGCCCAAATTCAGGCATACCACAGATATCGCGTGTGCGCCGGCAGGAGATCGAACCCCGGACCATGTGTATGGTCAGCGAGAGTCCTAACCACTATGCCACCGACGCACGTCAATGGGATCCGTAAATACAAGCGAAAATGGAGTTCATGTCTGGACGGACATAACGTAATATGAACGAGCAGTTACAGTACCACTTTTTCCCCTCATTAAATGAAGTAAATTATTATTATTGTATCCTTTAATTCCTAGAGGAACATAGGGCTTCAGCCGTGCGTCTCCATTGCGTTCGGTTCTCTGCTAGAGTCTTCACCTGGCTCCATGTCTGCCCACACGTTTTCATCTCCTCTTCACATGACCTCCTCCAAGTCACTCTTGCACCGACGACCAACTCGCCGCTTCCCTTTCGGGTTCCACTCGAGCAATGGCTTGCCTAGTGATGTCACTTGATGGTTTGTTTCCTCAGAGTATGGCCAGCCAATCCATCTCCATTTCTTCCTGCCTATTTGTTTCACAATCGGTTCCTGGTTGGTTCGTTCCCAAAGATTCCTGTTGCTGATCTTTTCTGGCCATCTGATTTTTATTTTTTTTATTTTGATTTACAGCTTGATTTCACACCGTATTTTCAGTACAAGTATGGAATTTTCAGCATGGATATCGGTAGCCCAAATTCAGGCCGACCATAGATATCGGGTGTGCGCCGGCAGAGGATAGAACCACGGACCATGTGCATGGTCGGCGAGAGTCCTAACCACTGAGTATTGAGCGAAGACAGCTGTTAATGAAGGTCTGTAGTTTGTTTGAGGTGCTCTTCATGACGCGCCAAGTCTCTGATCCGTATGTTAAGTAGCACTGACTTCCCATTGGAGTTGAAAATCCGGATCTTATTTTTGATGCTGAGTGCTGTTGACCTCCACGCAGACTTGAGAATGGTGAAAGCTTGTCTTGCTTTCCCGATTCTTGCTTTGATGTCCTGGTCAGTTACGCCTGTAGTTGAAACGATGCTTCCCAGGTAGGTAAAAGAGGTTGTTTCTTATACCTGGGAAGTAAATAACTTCCATTAATGCCTGTCTCCATTTGAATTACTTAAAAACCGTTGTGGGCAGATAGGTAATGACTTTTATCCAACATTTGTGTCCACTCTCTTTGTTATTATTTTCATTTTCATGACTTGCTTCTTACAGTTGATATAAAACTGTTTTATACACATGTGTTCAATGAAAATCCGCGGAAACATCTTCACATCATATAGACACACTGTTCAGCACTTTTTAACGTGTTGAACGTGAGGTTTAAAGATTGTTGCAATATCCAATTCCTTCTGAGTCAAAAATATTGAGTTACGCAATTGCATAGTAAGTTAACGAATTTGTATCATTTCTTTGCATTTTTACACAATAATTATTACACTGATAGTAATAATTACGCACACATCCTTCCGACTTTTGCTTTCTTTCCTTAGGTGATCACTAATTCCGATGGCTTCAAAGGGTTCGCAGCCGAAGAAAGTGATTTCGTCAGTGCCACTTATTTTGCATTCTGTTAACACTTCATTGATAAATGCATTCATCATCATTCGCTTGGATATACTTCTTGGAGAAACTGAATGCTGAATTTTGGAATGACTTTAGCCACAGAGTTTACGACATTAGGGCAATTTCTAATACTGAGTAGAAGCCAAAAATTTGAGAGAAGAAACGTTCAACTTTGAATTGAACAGCACTAAACATTTAGCACATCTACGATGCAGTTGCATGTTCTTAACAATGATTACAATCACCACTATTGTCATTTCAAAAGATAACAGAAAGCAACGAAAATGAGAGGGAAGAAGTATCCATTCAGTTTGTTTAGTCAGACCACAATTTGTATTTGGAGGGCTAAAACATCAAGTGAATGATAAGGTTAATAGAATTCGAAGGTGGAGTAGATAAATAATATATATATTTGCGTGACGTCTGCTTCACAGATGACGATTTCTTACAACGTTAATGAGTTCCATAAGCATGTCATTTAAGTAGCAAGAGAACAGTTTAAGTTTGACAATCTGCTTGCAAGCATTAGCCCATTGGACGACGGTAAGCTAGTTTATCCCCCACAAGAGCAGATTCTAAGACTGGTAGTTCTTAATCTGACTAAACGGACGAGTAACAACAGATAATTAATGAAGTCTATTTCATAAGACAACCGTGCAGGGAAAAATATCCACATTCTTCTATCCAGAGAAAGAACGAGAGAACATTGGACATAGCATGAAATGCATTAAGCGGAGGCATCCTTTTTCGGACGTATGAATTTACTTATCATATCCAGCTTCGATATTTGACCCAGTTGGAATTGTACTGCCATTGCTTTCGCTTTCCTAATCAATTTCGCTAGACACCTGTGGAGGGATATTAGAGTGGGAGACAGATTTACCTGAAAGCTATCCTTCCGCATGAAATAGTTGGTATGAGAATATCAATTATTTGAACAAAATTCAGATTCCATGATGTGTTATATCCACTTCCTGAGAAATACTAACTGTTCGGCCTCAATATTTCACCAACGATCCAGAGTTCGCATATGGTGCTGTCACTGATGTTGGCCAAACCTAGATTCACATCACTGAAACCTGTAACTATACCTACATTGGAATTAATAGCTGATGTACTATGTCTTAGCATTGGTAAACACATGCGGTGGCAGCTGCGCGTACCACTTTCTTTCACAATTCACTGGACAGATTCACTGATTGAACTGCAGCGTTAAAAGGTTTGCAAGCAGCATGCCCTCAGCTATCCATGAATAATCCACACCGGATCAGGTCGTTGCTAACCAGAACCCTTCAAATTATTCCAAAGGTGGACTTTTATTAGATATAAACATTGAGATTAATGAGAACCTTTATGGACCAATATTTCTAAGGTATGGGAAAGGGAATATGTCGAATACGCATGAAGATATATATATTTATTCCTGTTTTTGCAGGAACATACCAATTGTACAGGCATGGATAAGTTATTATATAAATTACAGTTTGTTTGTTCAATCTAACATTAGAGTCAGTCAGAACAGTCTGCAAAATAGTCTGTCTGTGTAACACATAAAGAGATATAGAAATATTGTCTTCGCATTAACAAAAAACCCAGACTTCAGATGAATGTAATACAAATATCTGGGAAAAATAAAGCTTGAAGTCAATTCTCCTATATAACTTTGTTGTGAGCAGCATCCTTGAGATAAAGTTTATTGATGTATTATTTTGGGTCAATAATGTATTTATTCCATTTTTTTCACCAGTCTAATCGCAGTTTTATAATAGGAAAGAAATTTGATCTTTGATATGAAAAGTAGATAAGTTCATGTTTGATTGTTTTACTGCATCAAATGGGGCCGAGGTCGATTCTAGAACTATCCATTTGCGCCATTTGCGTCAGCTTGACAGACTGTACATGTAAGTTGAGTAATACATTGAAAACTACTTGAAAACCAGTTGTTTCTTTATATCAGATCAAGAATACTCCTTGTACAGAATGTTAGCCAGCGTTTTCAATTGGTTGCATCGGATCGTTCATGGAATTTGAGTTTGAATTTACTTAAATGGTCATTTCAGTTTAGATGTTGGGTTGTTCGACCTCGACCAGGAGGTATATGGAAGATTACGCTCAGCAGGGAGATAAAGTATGTAAATATGGAAAGAACATTATTATTTTATGTACATATAAATGTTTATAAATGTATATCATTGTATAGTAAACACTACCCATAATCTAGTTGTTTTTCATGTAATTTTGCGAAGTCTTAGAGTTTATTTAGTGTCGTAATATTTAGTAATGAGTCTAGGCGTTATAGTGTTCTAATAGCTCATGCGTTTTGGAAATAAGTGGTGCGGTGTGATTGGCATAGTCACTGGGATGAAACAGTTTATATAGCAAGCGTTTGAAGGTTATAATAGAGTGACAGGTCCTTATTTCTACGGGCAAACTGTTCCAGATCTTAGAATACATGACTATGAAGAAGTTTGCACGGAGTGCTGTCTTACAGTTTTTCCTAGATACTGCGCACGTTTGGTTACGAAGGTTGTAAGAGCCTTCCGGTGAGAACTGTATCTCCTTGCTGTCTGAGAATGATATTTTATGCAAGACTTTAAAGAAGAATGTTAGGTTAATGCTCAGTCGTCTCATCCAGAGTTGGTCGATACCTAGAGTTATACACCTTGATGTGTAGTCCTTTTCGCAGTCAAATCCTAGTAGTTTAGACGTGAAGTATCGTTGGACACTTTCTATTTTAAGTTTGTCACTTACGCGAGTGCTGCTGAGAATAAATGGACAATATTCAAGTAGTGGTCTGACACAAGTTTTATATAATAATAGTTTCGCCTCGTAGTTGTGGAAATTCCTGAGTATGCATCCTAATAGCGTCCTCGATTTACGCGTCTGTGTCGCCACTTGCTCAGAAAATGTCAAGTCACTAGAGTACCTGGGTCCTAGGTCAACAACACTTTGGAGTTTAGGCAAGTCAAGAGATTCAAGTACCAGTTTAATATTTATTGAGGGTGCACCGAAACAGATCCAACCACATTTTTTAAGGTTGAATTTTAGGTTCCATGTGGAGGACCATGCAGTTACTCTATCTAGTTCTTCCTGAACAGCTTTCTGAAAGTACCCTAAGTCATCACAATGGAATGTGTAAGCTACTTTAAGATCATCTGCAAAGA